GGTCAGGTAAATTTCTTTTGACAGGCCCGGGGGTTAGGAATTTGTTTATGGAATTTTAGGGAGGGATAAAATTGGGGGGGGGGGGGGATTTTAGAAATTTTAAAAGATTTCCAGTTTCACTTAAGATGATTCGCTGGTTTTGCACTGCGCATCTCTTACTGTGCATAACAAGATGGCCGCCGTAAAAAGAGCATGTGAAGTAACATTATTAAAATGAAGCTGACTGAAGAGAAACGATATTGGAATTTTTGCTTGCTGTTGTTTCTTGCCGTGGTGAGACTCAATGTGTTGGGAATGTGCATAACGTAAACAGTACGCGTGATGCTGAGTTCGACTTCCCCTCGGAGAACCTCGATAGTGGATGTTTAACTTGTGCTTACTCAATTGGATTTTCTATTTTGAAACTCGCCCCAGTCCTCTCTCAAAAATCGGAGAAAATGCATTTGGTACGCACTTTCTGCAGCTCTACCGCAAAAACGAGTACGGTGATCCCTATTTTTAATTTCATGATTCTAATAAGGACAGTGCTTCCTTTCGATGAGAAAAAAATTGGCACAAATCTATGTTCAGTTTTTTGGCAAGTTTACTAAATTGTACGGATTGAGCTATCACGGGTCGAATATCGCGTGTCCAATTTAATTCTACTTTGGAGCGTAAAGTAAAAACAAGGGCATTAAAAGGCATTTTTCTGGTACGTAAGTGGATAAACAATACATTAAAGTAAAATTCTGAGCGATACCACATGCATCATCGAAAAAATCTCTCCTTTTTGTCTAAGTTTGGGCTGCCCGCGGTTTTTTGTAAAAGGGTACTAAATAGACGTATTTGTCAGCATTGTGACGTCAAAACGAGCACGGTGACCCCCACTTTTTATTACTTTTTTATCATCCTCTTGACTTATTACATCAGTGTACCAAGTTTCATCTACAATCTATGTTAGGTTCTTTTACTAAGGAATCACCTTAAATGAACAGCCCTAGCCTTCGCTTCGCTTCAAGTGTGAAGCCAACAAATGACCATGACTTTACACCACCGTAGATTTTCATTTAGGTAAAACAAGGAAAGTTATTGAACCTAACAAAACTGACATATCAACTAAAAAACGATAGACTTCGTACCTCCATGACAGATGCTGAAATTCCTTGCATCGAGTAAATAGGTTTGAATAGTGGATCGGTGTATGTCGAGTCCAACACATCTTTATGGAAAAAGTTGGATGAGTTCCATGACCACGAACCCTGTGTGCCGGATCCTTTGTTACAATCCTTTATTCTTAACATTCTTACAACTATGATTACGTTGGGACGAGCATGAATCTTGTCCAGTCTGACCATTTTCTGTCAAATAAGTTGCAGTGTCTGAAGCCTTTTTGCGACTGGTTGTATGTCTAAAAGCCCCATTGAAGCGGACGATTCACTTGATATTTACATGTAGGCCTAACATTACGCATTTTTGGTTCCATAGGTAAGATTTTCTTAACTCATTCAAATAAGATCCAGAATTGTCCTAAAACTGACTCCCAACATCGCCTAACTAGGTGCTGGATACAACATGTGCTATTAAACAAATAATTAGTTCAATTTTGGATGAAATTTCCACCAATTGCAAAATTTTGATAAGACGATTAAAATCAATAACTGTGGCACGAAATCATAAAGTTGTTTCCAAAAAATTAGGTTCAACCTTTGATTTAGCCCCATACGAAATGTATCATCTTAAGACAATTAATTATAATAGTTCCTCTCTGACAAAAAATCAGACTGAAATCCTTTGACTAAAGATTTTTTGACCTTGGAAAATGACCATAGTCCTTTCCTGTATGAAAAACGATAAATCTAGACACTAAACGACAATTTCATATAAATCAGGGTATTTGTTACCCCAACCGTCAAATTGGTGCCGGAATGCGAGAAAAACGTATTCCTATAAAACTTTGTCGAAGTGGTGTCGATGCTGTAGAAACGTCAAACATTGTTAACAACAGTACACTAAACCTGTAATTATATCACATTAAATTCCCTTTCAATGCCACTCCTGTTATCAAAAGCTAGTAATAACCATTAAGATTAGGCAGAGCGGGCGAGTTTTAGGCTTCTGATCGATGTTCAAGTTTCACGTTTACTTTGTAGAAAGTCAAAACGTCTGTGATCATAATGTGTTCAATGCATTCCAGTCACTCTTAATGGAAGTCCAAACGAATGCTGGCTACCTACATGCTAAGCTTGCACAACAGCAACAAAGAGATTAGGATTGCGGTCTCCTCTTGTCGCCCCCAACAAGTAGAATACTTGGACTTATATTGGCGTATGCATTATGGACTATACACTAACTCCTTATTGAAACTGAGACTTAGTATACCTGATTTGTATTGGAGCGACATGAGGAGTACACTGCTTTCTTCAACCTCTGAGCTGAAACGAACTTGAATATCTAGCAAAACCGTTCCATTGTTGATTTCGATAGAAGAAGCATTGGCAGTAACATTGAGTAAAAAGCCATCGATCCTGTTAAAAATATAAATGTCAGTAAAAAAGAAATATTCTCCTCTCATGTTTTTTTTTAAGACTATCTACTTCATATTTTCCTTGATTGCTAAATCCTATCACACCCAAGAAAGGACAGTGAATTTGATAAAAGAGGAGGCTAGTGCTGTGTCCAGCCAAAAAACGTTAGAATAAGTCCCACATTTAAGCATCAGTTGTGGGTTTAGTTTAAAGAGTTTCTTACGAAAATTTCGCGTGAGAAATTTTCGCTGTTAGAGTTATCAGGAAAATTAACGAGATCCTGTTGCACACCTTAAAAAGCAAGACATTCATCGCCCTAGAAATAAGGAGAAAACCTGTCCAACGAGTTAAACCGCCTTAAAATAGCACCTGTTTATCTCAATGAGATTCCACCGAATTAAATTCCTGTGGTAATGGTTGTGACATCATCGGCTTTAATGTATTCCTGCGCAAATTGATGAGATTTCTTCACAAAAAAAGTGAATTCGCTCCCTACTATACTACTGTTGTCCATGTTCATTGACCTGTGTAGCGATAACCTATGGAGCATTGGGGGAATCCGGATTCTGCAATCCGGGAAATTATTGCTTGTTGAATCCGGAATCCTGGGCTTTGGAATCCAGAATACAGCTGAAAGGATCCGGAATCTCACTAGCGACTGGAATCCAGAATCCAAGTTCCGCTGATAAAGGCTGGAATCTAGTACCTGGAATCCGGAATCCGCGACGTGGAATCCAGAATCCAAGACTGTCTTGGATTCAAGCCCTTACATGTGGAGGGATGACCTACCGAACATTGGGGGAATCCAATTGATACGGGGTCTTGATTGTCATAACTGTTACAATGCTTTTTCCAGTCTTCACTGCTAATCCTCCAATCAGTGAGGCTCTTTCATAATAGAAAAAGCGAAACTGAAGGCCAAAATCGTTCTTTCTACTTTTGCAACCCCAGAACTCGCCAATGCCAAAGAAGTCATATTCAACTCCTGAAGACGAAAAAAAAAAAAACGGTAACATAACTGAGATATTTCAAGCACTTCATTTTTCTACATGTCGCTCTAAGATCCGTTTTAAGGTACCCTCTAAAGTAATGTTTTTTCCTCACTAAAATGCGTAGAAAACTTCGTAAAAATTCTAGTGTTTTCTGCACGTTTTCGTCGTTACGAAACCATTGAAACCGCATATGGGGTAAATAGTTAACTTCAATAGCGCCCAACGAAGTTATTGTCTATTATCGCCACATGTTTGACCTTGTATAAAAAAATGTCATGCACAATCCATTATAGTCCGTGCACAGTAAAGTGACATTATTGCGAATTTTAAAAGTTTCTTCTATCGAAAGCTTATTTCTAGCTGAACTAGAAGCTAAAACCATTATTAGCTAAGTGTTTTTTTTAAAGTAAACGCCTTAATTTCATTGTTTAAAAAAAAATTTTAAAAAAAGGCACCAAAGGGTTGCTGAATTCCCGCTTTATAGAAGGTTGTCCTCATGCACACACCATTTAAAGTTTCCAAATGCGGATCTCCTCTTCCTCCAGCTGTAGTCCTATCACACAATGGTCCTGTCCAGCCCCCCAGACATCGACATGCAGCCCCACAACCAGAGGTACTTTGAGCAATTCCGTTGCCTGAACATGTTGCCCCTGTAGAGTAAATCATTCGTGTACCAAACAAATTCACAAGCCAAAACAAAGCGAATTATCCTATATAAGGTAAATTTCGATCATACTATCTCATGATCAGTGACTGCCAAAAAACTCATCGCCTTTACATCCCTAACCTCCCTTCCAAATAAAGACGGAATCCACTAGGAAATTGAGTAATTTGAATTCTCAGTAGACAAAAACCTTCTACCAGAATAGTTTAAAGAATATTGCATTCTTTTTTACATTTTTCAAGGCCTAAAGATGTAATGACAGGTCTGTAATTAGTCATCTGTAATTACATCAAAGAAAAGTTTTTTATGGGAGTCTGAGAAAATTAATGTCAAATTTCACAAGAATTGTGAAAACAGATTGTGAAATTTGACATTCTTTTTCTCAGGCTTCCATAAGAAATTTTCTTTGGTGTTGTTACAGATGACCAACTACATCTTTAGCCCTTGAAAAATGTAACAAAAAGTGCAATCAGTGCTTTAAATTATTCTGGTACAAGGTTTTGTCCACTGAAAATTTCAAAAAAAAAAAAAAAGTACTCAAGTTCCTGGTGGTTCACCCACGTTTTATTTGTACAGACAACATGAGCCTCCACCCAGCCTGGGCCTCCAGAAGTAAAGTATACGCCTACAACACGTCAATGGGAAATTCAAAATTCAATGTTTCGGACGCCGATTATTAGCGACCTTTAGCAATGAAGACGAGAACGAGGACGAGGACTGGTATGACCGATTGGGGCCTGGAACCAGAACGTCGTCCACGGCGGTATTTCGGCGGGAAACGAGTCTCTTCCTACAGTGAAATTCACCAGGGAAAATGTCTTTCAAAGAATTTCGTGACCTCCTTGTAATTCTCTACGGCGATGAAATTATATTATATATTTATATTTTGCTACTTTACCATAGCTTCATCTCAAAGAATCCAGATTTTCCTCATAGAAACTATCAACGGTTTTATTTGGATTCTATGAACTCCGCGGAGTGCAAAGCAGAGTTTCGTGTGGAGAAACACGATCTCCCTCGCCTTGTTGCAGCCCTCCAACTACAACCGGTGTTTAAATGCGAGCAGAGGAGTATTTGCGACGACATGGAAGGCCTATGCATACTCCTCAAACGAGTTGCCTACCCATGCAGACTCAGTGATCTGATTCCGCGATTTGGCCGACCGGTTTCTGTTATAAGCCTGATCTCAAATGATGTCATCGACTATATTTATGACGTTCATGGGCACCGTATAACACAATGGAATCGAGATCTTCTGAATCCTGGGGCTTTGCAGCGTTATGCGGAAGCTATATCAGGAAAAGGAGGCCCCCTTGACAACTGTTTCGGTTTTGTAGATGGAACAGTCCGACCCATCTCAAGACCAAATGAGCGTCAGAGAATTGTGTACAATGGCCACAAGAGGGTCCATGCATTAAAATTCCAATCCTTGTCCCTACCAAATGGACTTATTGGCAACCTATTTGGACCAGTTGGTGAGTTTGTAATAAAACGTTAGTGTTTTAAACTTAAATAACCTCCTCCCCCCCCCCCAAAAAAATTCTCTTCTCATGTTTGATTCTAATTTCGTTTCTAGAGGGGCGTAAACACGACGCAGGGATGTTAAATGATTCTGGACTACTGCGGGACCTTCAACAGTACGCCTATAATCCAGCAGCTCAAGCTATGTGCATTTATGGAGATTTGGCCTACCCTCTCCGAGTTCATCTCCAAACACCGTTCCGTCGTGTCCCACTTACACCCCTCATGCAGGATTACAACGAGGCTATGAGCGCTTTACGGATTTCTGTAGAATGGTTGTTCGGTGACGTCATTAATTCTTTTAAATTTCTTGACTATAAAAAGAATTTGAAGATAGGCCTTAGCAGCGTCGGTAAAATGTATGTTGTCTGTGCACTTCTCCGTAACGCCATTACGTGCCTTTATGGTAATAACACCAGTGATTATTTTGGTATTGAACCCCCTTCCCTGGAACAATACTTTCAATGAATTGTAGTCTAGCTGTACTGTATTTTCTCCTTCCTGGATCATATTCAGTGTAATGAGATGTAAAATATAGACTGTTGGAAAGAAGGAATTATACTTTAAAAAAGCACCTTCAATGTACAGGAAGAAAATAAAAGAAAACGACACACACGCAAGTTTGATTTATGTGGTTGCTATGGAAATGCAAATGTCACATAAACATGATAATGGCACAAAGGAATATTTCCAGATCAATTTGGTGCCTATAGATCAATCCATCAAAAAGTTAAAAGATTCATTCAAAGACCTTCCCCATCCCCCCCCCCCGCTTCATAGCCCTAGGCTTAAAAGGAATATATAAATAATTCCAGAGCCGGACACTCAGCAATAAGATGCTAATGTTTCAAAAGAGTACTGAAAAGGGTATGTGTATTTTATTCTTACTTCAATGTTTTGCTCAACCTATGCTTAAATGTAAGAAAATGGAGCACATCCTAACACTAACGTTCTAAAATTTCAAAGGACAGCTTAATTTAACCCTTTCACTCCCAGTGTCTAAACATCAATGTACTACTTTCTTTCTCACGACGATGTTTAAGACCATGTTCTTAATTACTATGCCACCTATCTAGCAGCAATCACTCTATGTGATGTTACTGCAAAGGTTTACAGCATTTTATCAGCCATGTGATAGTTAATTTGAAGTTTTAATTAATAACTTCTATATCCTTGTGAGTGAAAGGGTTTACTTAAGTTATCTTAGCTTCAACGATGTATCTTTGATCACTGTACACACTGCACTAAGAAAATTCCTTTCTCCAGAGGTGTAAACAACCCATCAACCTTTGAAGTCGAGGTGAAGAAAAACTAATCACCAAGCTGGACAGGCAAAGTCACCAGAAAAAAAAAAAGAGACAAAATTATAGTTGGAAAATAATCAGTTAAAAATTATGATAACAACAACATGGCTGACTAAAGGGCTGAAAGGGCCAAAGGTTGACAATTTGATTTTCAACTTTTGTTTTGCCTTTGCCAGCTCTTATGAGGATTTGGGCATTACTTTTTCAAGTAAACTCATTAACATTTGACTCTGTTGTTGTTGCTGCTGCAGGAAAAGCATTTGAAAGTTCTGTAGCTGCTGTTCCTGCCTCTGCTGCTGTTCAGCCATCATCTTCATTACATCCTGGTACTGTTGCTGGTTCTGCCTCTGCTGATCTATCAACATTTGATGTTGAGCTGCTTTACTTTCTTGCTCTTTCTTCTTCAATTCCATTTCTTCCTTCCGGAATTCCTTCTCATTCTCAAATTTTTCTTTTAGAATTTGCACAGCTTCAGTGGTACTTCTTCTGCTTTTTGGTTTGATAACTTCATCACATGAATCAGCATTCCTCTTTTTTGTTTGGCCCAGGCGCTCCAAGGCCTTCAACCTACTTTCTTCGGCTGACGCCTTGTCGTTTTCATTCTTCTTGGTAAGAGTGTTAGTGTTTTCTTTCCTTTCTAAATCAGCTGCCTGTTCTTTTTCTATGATTTCACACAATGCCATCTCCAATTCTGTTTCCTCGTCACATTTCATGCCAGAACCCTGCTCTTCGTTTCTCACCTTTTCTTTGCACTTCCTCAGCAAAAGAGTGAGCCTGTCCCTGACAGACCGCGTTCTTACAGTGAATTTGAGTACACTGAGCCCATTTAAGTTTTGTGCTATTTCTCCCCAGATTTCTCCTCTCTCTCTACTTTGCTTTGGGTGCTTGAATGGTTCCATGACAAGAACTTCTCTGCATAGCATGAGATCGTGCTCTTCTGACCACTTCATGGAATAATTTCTGAATATAAATAAAGTGCCAATAATTATATTTTTACAGTCAGTGGTAATACTGGTAAGCTTACAAACTTATGATTCCATATCAATTGCCTAAAACGATTTCTGTGCTGCAGTAAAAATTATTTGTAAATAAACTTTTTTTTCTCGAGGTGAAAATCAGTACAGCGTAAAACATGACTGTAGAACGATTTAAGAAATCTTCATGTGCAAAAATTAACGACTACAAAAACTTGGCTTTGAGAGGGCTTTTATATCAGCAAAAAAGTGAGGTAAGTTCATTCAGAGCTTAGCTATAAAGGTGGATTCTTACCTCAAATGTATTTACGCGAATAGTTTAAACTTTCAAAGACGAACAAAACTTCATTTATCCTGACAGGATTTTTACAAAACTGTTATCAAATGCGGTTTAAATAATACAACTTACATTTATAAAAACGCTTGAAACTTCCACTGATGTTCCTGCTGCATCCATCACTTCTTTGACCGAGTGCAGTTATACTAAGACTGACAAATTTGTCCTGCAACATCGAAAAAATCACAGCA